ACCGGGCCCCCGAGGAGCCGGCCCGCGAGCGGGACGCCGACAAGAGCGCGGAGAAGGACAAGAGCCGAGAGCGGGACCGCGAGCGGGAGAAGGAGAACAAGCGCGAGTCCCGCAAAGAGAAGCGGAAGAAGGGGTCCGAGCCCCAGGGCAGCTCCGCCTTGTACCCCGCGGGCAGGGTTTCCAAAGAGAAGGCGGGCGCGGAGGAGGGGGCCGCGCCGTCCTCTGCCAAGAAGGTCACGGGGCGGAAGAAGTCTTCGTCCCTCGATTCTGGGCCCGAGGTGGCTGCCGTGACCCTTGGGGACACAACCGCTGTCAAAACCAAAATCCTGATCAAGAAAGGGCGCGGGAGCCTGGACAAGGCCGCCCTGGACCTCGGCCCCGCCGCAGCGCTGGACAAGGAGAAGGCGCCCTGCCCGCCCGCGCCCGCGCCCGGCGTGAAGCATGCCGCGTCCTCCATCGGCTCCATGCTGGCGCAGGCGGACAAGCTCCCCATGACCGACAAGAGGGTCGCCAGCCTCCTCAAAAAGGCCAAGGCCCAGCTCTGCAAGATCGAGAAGAGCAAGAGTCTTAAACAAACCGACCAGCCCAGAGCACAGGTACTCTCTTCCGTGTTGCCTGGTGACCTCCGTCATGGCCAGCCCTGCTAGGAGCGAGCTTCAGGCTGAGGGGCCCGGTCTGTTCATTTGCGGGAGCCAGGGAAAGGCGGGGGAAGGGGTGACATCTGCAGTGACCCCGTAAGGACAGGCGGGGTTCTGATAGGTAGACAGCGATGGGGAGAGCGTTGCAAGGAGAGGGGCAGGGGAGGTAGGGACACACTTGAGGGGCGGTGGGTAGCGAGGCTGTACAGGCAGGAGAGCGGTGAGCTGAGGCCCGCAGGTAGGTTGGGGCCAGGGGACAGAGAATGCGAGTTTGTACTTAATGGCTTTGGTGGATTAGAACCTGTGGCAGGTTCGAAGGTGCTTCTCTGTAGTCAAGTTGTTTCACTGTTGTTGACGGTAGAAAACAGGATGGGGAGGAGTCTCAGCCTCTACGGCAGCGGTTCTCAACCTTCCTAATGCCGCGACCCTTTAATACAGCTCCTCATGTTGTGGTGACCCCCAAATTTCATTGTTACAAATTGAACATAATTAAAGCACAGTGATTAATCCAAAAACTACGTAATTATATATGTGTTTTCCGACGGTCTTAGGCAACCCTGTGAAAGGGTCGTTCGACCCCCCCCCCAAAAGGGGTCGCGACCCACAGGTTGAGAACCACTGCTCTAAGGGGTGCGGTGCTTAGAGCAATAAATAAATACATGAATTGATGGTGTGTGCAGAATACACCTGAGAAGCCTTTGGCCTTAGGCTGTGGGACAGAAAAGCTGTCGAATTGAGTTTACTAAGATGAAGACAAACATATTTTTACAAAGAACAGTGTTGTGGGGGTTTTTTGTGTGTTTTTTTCTTTTTACACAGTAAACTAGGCACTGGTCTTTTCTGAGAAAGCATACCGATCTTTAGGGTTCTTTTTAAAAAAATTGTCATGTAGTAGATGCTTATTTATGCCAACATCTCAAGTTAGGTTGCAGTGAACACAGACCTAGGTTTTTAATGTTACTCAACCTGGGGCATATTCTACGAATTCTGCCAGTTGAGAGTTCAAGCAGGGACTTCCTCTGACACCATTGTGGGTGTTTTTTGGTTAGCCTCTGAGTGACAAAAGCAGTGGCTCTTTAAGATGGGAGACTTTTCCATTTGGAGTCTTGTATACTTCATTCATAGGTTATTCCTCCTACTTCCCTATTGATCAGGGAAATACAGGAAATTATGGTTAGGCTGAACTTCTTGATAAGATACTGGCAACTTAAATTTTGAGGGGAATAGGAAGAAGTAGTATAATTGGGAATAGGAACTTAGTTGATTTCTGTCTTTTTCCTGCCAATGTTAGGACTCAGAGGTAGTTGATTCCTGCAAATTGATATGGCTTATCACCTGGAAATAACTAGAGTGAGTCCACATTATAATAAGTTAGCCCAAAATACCCTGGCTTCATTTAGTTATGTTGTCAACATGTGTGGTTGTTTTGGCTCACCTCCTGTTTAGGGTCAAGAAAGTGATTCATCAGAGACGTCTGTGCGAGGACCCCGGATTAAACACGTCTGCAGAAGAGCTGCTGTTGCCCTTGGCCGGAAACGCGCTGTGTTTCCTGACGACATGCCCACCCTGAGTGCCTTACCGTGGGAAGAACGAGAAAAGATCTTGTCTTCCATGGGGAATGATGGTAGGTCCAGATGTCAGCCTTGAAGTCCTAGCACCCAGGTGATCTGCTGCTGATCATTCTTGGGGTGCCTTGTAGGCTGGCAATAGCATCATGTATTCATCTGGATCCTCTAAAAACAGATGGCAAGGGGTGGGGGTTCAGTGAACAAGGATTCTATGAGGAACTGTCTGTGAGGCACAATGGGGAGGGAGCCAGGGAAGGCTGGGAGAGCTGTCAGTCAATGAAGGAGGGAGGGAATCTTTGGGCATAACTTTCCTAGACGGCCATGCAGTGTAAAAAGGTTTGGCAAGACAGTCCTTGAGCAACAGCTCACCGCTAGAGGAATGTGTCTCAGGAACAGGTCTGTCTGAG